TTGCCAATTTGACTATAACATGTCTTGGAGAGGACCTTTTTGGGTTGAATATGTTTGAAGATTGTTGAGCTTCCTGGATCTGAAGATCTGTGATTTTTCCTAGATCTGGGAAGTTTTCCACCGCTATTTTATTGAATATGTTTTCAATGCAATCTCCTTTTTCCTCCCCTTCTGGGATACCCATGACTCGGATATTTGAGCACTTAAGGTTGTCTGATATCTCTCTCAGATTTTCTTCAATGCCTTTGATTCTTTTTTCTTTTTTTTTTGTCTGCTTATGTTATTTCAGACAGCCCATCTTCAAGTTCAGAGGTTCTCTCTTCAACTTCGACAAGCCTGCTGGTTAAACTCTCTGTTGTTTTTTATTATTTCACTGAATAGCTTCTTCAGTTCGGCAAGTTCTGCTACATTTTTTTTTCAGGGCATTGATTTCCTTGTACATTTCCTCTTTCAGGTCCTGTATACTTTTCCTCATTTCCTCATGATGTCTAGCTGAGTTTTCTTATATCTCATTCAGTTTCCTTAGAATTATCACTCGTAATTCCTTGTCAGTCATTTCAAGGGCTTCTTATTCTATAGGGTCTAGAACTTGAGATTTATTATCTTTGGGTGGTGTACTTTCTTGATTTTTCGTATTTCTGGTGTCTTTTTTTGATGTTTATTCATTGTGGCAGGGTTTCACAGACCACCATGGAACTTCCCTGCGGCTCCCGGGGCTCCCCGCAGGCCAAGCCGGAGCAGCTCCGCACTTTCGCCACGGGGAAAGACAATAGACAGCCAGTCCTCCGGTGGTGGTGGCAGCGGCTGAAGCCGCGGCGAAGAGGAACCGGCGTGGCGGTCTCGGTGGAGCCCCGGCGCTTCACAGATGCTGCTCCGGCTCCACGTTGGGCCTCCAACTCCTGACTCGAGGAGTTGGGTTTCCGGTGACTTTGGCTTTTTGATCAGCAGCCTTTTTCTGAGCACTGTCCTTCTTTTTCTTTTCTTCCTGCTTTTTCTTTTTTTTTTCTTCCATCAAATGTTCCTCTTCTTGTGTTTCTTGTTCTTCCTCCCTGGGCTCTGTGGGGCCCGGCGGCGCAGCTGGACGTGGGCAGGCGGGCCCGGGGCTGCTCTGGGGCTTGGCAGGCCTTAACTTTTCTGGTCCTGCCGGGCTCCGAGGCTCAATTCTAAGTTTCAAGGCCGCTCTTCTCCCCTCAAAGAATTCATGAAGTGCTTGAGCTGACTACTTTGGCCTCTTCCCAAATCTGCTAACTATTGGCACCATGTTCTAACCAACTGAGCTAACTGGCCAGCCCTATCCTGCAATCTTAAATAAAACTGATTCATTCTTATAGTTCTTTTAGTAGGTTACTTAGGATTTGGTATGTACAAGGTCTGTCATCTGAAAATTAAAATAATTTCTTCTTTTCTTTTGCCTTGCCTTGTCTCCCTGACTAGAACCTCCAATACAATGCTAAATAGAAGTGGTACAAGCGGACTTCCTTGTCTTGCTCATGATCTTAGATCTAGTCTTTCACCATTAAGCATAATGTTAGCTGTGGGTCTTTGTAGATGACCTTTATCAAGTTGAGAAAGTTCTCTTCTAAATTTAAATGTTTTTATGATGAAAGAAGAGTGTTGGGCTTTGTCAACTGCTTTTTCTGTATCAGCTGGGATTATCAGGCTTTGTTTCTTATTCTGTTGATTTCATGCATTAAATTATTTTCTGATGGTAAACCAACCGTGTATTCCTGAAATGAATCCCACTAGATCATGATGTGTAATCCTTTTTACATGTTACTGGATTCAAATTACTAGTATTTTATTCAGGATTTTTACAGCTATATTCACAAGAGATATTGCTCTGTACTTTGCTTAGGATATTCCTTTCTGGTTTTGTTTTCAAGGGTGACACTGGCGTCATAGAATGAGCTGGGAAGTATTTCTTCCTCTTCTAGATTTTAGAAGAGTTTGTGGAAAATTTATATTATTCTTTAAATAATTTGTAGAATGCAGCAATAAACCATCTGTGGCTAGGACTTTGTGGAAAGTTTCTTACA